CAGGGCAAGGTATGGGGAAAGGATGTGGAGCTTCCATGCCTTCCTGGGGCACACCATCCTCTGGGAACGTCCGGTCCTCTTGGTTTTGTTTAGTTTTGTTTTGACATGGAGTCTGGCTCTGTTGCCCAGGCTAGAGTGCAGTGGCATGATCTTGTCTTACTGCAGCCTCCGCCTCCCAGGCAGTGATTTTCCTGCCTCCCAAATAGCTGGGACTACAGGTGCCCACCACCACATCCAGCTAATCTTTGTATTTTTAGTAGAGATGGGTTTTCACCATGTTGGCCAGGCTGGTCTTGAACTCCTGACCTCAGGTGATCCGCCCACCTCGGCCTCCCAAAGTGCTGGGATTACAGGCAGGAGTCACCGCGCCAGCCCTCTTAGGTTTTTTATGGAAGCTTCAAGATGTTACCATTCCTTCCCTCAGGATATGGGGTGGGTCCCTCTCAGGGGAGGGTCCTAAGACTCACAGTCAGAAAGGAGGCGAAAAGATGAGAGTCCTGCCTTGGGGCAGGTGAAAGGACGGCAGAAGCAGGTTAGAGAGGTTGTTTCTTAAGGTCTGCTCCTGAGGCCTAACACACCCACCATTATAACAAAATACTGTAACAAGGGCTAGAGGTGTTGGGAGCCAGGAACTGTAGACAAAAATTAATGTATATCATAATACCACACGTTGCCCTCAAATTTCAAGGAAGGCTGGGAAATGGAGAGTTTAGCTTCACTGCTTCCATAGGCGTTAAGGTATGAAAGAAGTGAGTTGGGAACGGTAGCTATCAGCCCAACTATAGCGTTTGCCACAACTGTGAACAGACGAAATCCCTTTCCAATCTCTCTCCAGTGGTCAGAAGTGATGGATTTCATTATGTTCTCTCTATTTCATCATCATGCTCCTTCCTTAATTTCACAGAGCATACCATTTGTTTAAAAATTAAATACCCAGTCTGTAGGCTGCATTAGAACAAGGATAATCATCACAATGATATTGATTTGTTCATCAAATCCCACAATTACTGTTTGATTATTGAGTATCTGTCTACATCGCCAAGCACTGAGATACAGTGTTCACTGATATATATTACAGATAAGACATATTGAACATGTCTTATCTTTCCCATGCTTTATCAATTAGGAATGCTTTCAGCTACTAAAAGGAGAAAATTCAACTCACAGTGGTTTAAACCATACTAACAACCTGTAATTTACTTTTGAAAGAATTCAAACGGAGGTGAGAAGCTCTACAATGTTAGATCACTGGGATTATGTCTCTGTGATCCCCCACCTGGTTACAAGAAGGCTGTCAGAGCTCCAAACACCTCATCCTTCAAGAATGGGCCCAAAGAGAGTCATGCTGGTGAGAGAACTATTCTCTCACGTCTCCTTATTTTATCAGAGAATACAGTCTTCCCCAGAGGCCTCCTTAGCGGGATCAAGTGGCCATTGTTTGCTTTAAGGGAGGCTAGAAGTGTATCTGGTGAGAAGGGAGAGAGGACTGTGAATGAACCAAGAGTGTTGTCATAAACACTTGATAGCTTTCCATACACTTTTGCAGTCATGATCTCATCTCGTGACTCGATGAGGCAACTATCCAAACCTACTGGAAACCCAAGCCTGGACTAGGCGTTACAAGCGGTATCCGCCATGTGGGAACTTCCGCCTGCGAAGTAATTCAATGGTCCTTTAAAGGTGCAAATTTAATGCAAAGGGACTTAAATAAATTATTATGCATTTTGCTTACAAAGTGTGCATGGAAGAACATAAGGAGTAATTCAGAAGATTTTATAGTTTGGTAGGATAATTAGAAAGAGAAATCAAGATATGTGGATTCTTGCCTCAGATTGGGGTAAAACACTAGAAGAATTTTGAGCCTCTTTCCTCAGCTGTAAAATTACATACCTGACAAGATTAGATGATCTCTAAATTCCTTCTCAAAGAGTACCTACATAACCATGATGCTGAAAGTCCCGAACTTAAAAAAGAAATTAAAATCATCTATTCCAATCTCTTTTCAACAATGAGATAACAGGCTCAGAAAGATCACCGTTTGTCTACATTCACTCATTTAAGTTAGAAATTTGAGTTCCAGCATTATACTTTCACAAATAATTGATACTGCATCCGGACAGGTTTTTTAAAATTTGGCCTCTTCTATAATTTTTTTCATTTTAGGCATAATCTCTGTGATGGCATTTACTTTGCTTAATAGAGTGCAAATAATGAGATTGTTTTAAAAGTCACTTATTAGCTGTAAATTCTGGGCCAATTACTTCTTATCCTTGCTGTCAAATAATAATTGTTCCTTCTTCATAGTTTTTCTTTTCTGAGGACCAGATAAGTAATCTATTAAGAAATCTGAACATACTACCACACAGCAAGGAGTCGTTCCGTGGTAACCACAATTATTGTTAACATCTCTCCAGCCAGCTCAGGTGCTTAAAGCTTGAGTAAGTGTTTGCGAGCACTTTCCCCAGCAGGTGTATGGAGGTGACTGAGTCTCCCTGTTATTATTTTGTCTTTTATGATCATACCTTCCACCATCACATCATATAGGGATGGAGCCTCTGTGTAATAACCAGGGGTGTGGTACCCAACTGGAAGTCAGACCAATTATTCTTATGCTGTCACTGAGCCCAGTAACTGGTGATTTGTACAAGAAGAGTTAAAACAACTTATACAAAAACAGAAACACTTAAATTGGGGATTCTGAATGTGGGATTCATGGATGGGCTTTAAGGGAATGGAAACCACCTGATATTTCATTCAAGTGATTGACATTTTGGGCCAGGTAATTTGGGGGACTGTCCTGCGCACTGTATTTAGCAGGATCTTGGGTCTTTACGCACTAGATGCCAGTAGTGCTCCCCAGCCATGGGTAACGATAATCAACATTATCTTCGGATCTTGCCAAATATCCTTTCCTTCTTCAGAGTCACTGTGGCAAAGCTTTGTATGTATGTGCTTTTTTTTTTTTTTCTTTCTGTAAGGCTCATCAGCTTCATCATATTTTTAAAAAAGACCTATGACCTCAAAAGGCCTGGAACAAATCACTTAAGGTCTTTCAAAATAATAAAAGAACACATATCTCCAGCTGTCTTTGTGGGAAAAATGAACACCATCAGGGCTAATTAAAATGGTGCAGTCTGGAAATCTGCTATGAAATCTATATCTTCCCAATTATTAACTCCTGTAAAAAGGCACCTCACAAAAACTATATCTGGGAAACTGCTTCAAAAACTGCTATTCCCAGATGGCACACTTCTTAAAATACTGTGTTCAGCAGAGACTCCCACAGTCATCTACTGATCTAGCTCTAAACTTCTAAAGGGGTTAGTGCTAATGGCAAGTGGAAAAAATCAAGTCCAGAGGGGAACTAAAAATCAGTTGTTTCTCAGAAAAGAAATCAAATGATGGAATAGATTGCAAAATTGATCAGGAAGCAGGATGGAGCAGCAGGGAGGGAGAAAGTGAAGGGACAGGAAGGGAGGGAGGGAGGGAGAGAGAGAGAAGGAGCGAGAGAGCCCTTTGAAAGAGGGTATCTCTTGGGCGACGCTCGCTAGAGGTCCTCCCCTGCCTTCTCCCCGGCTCGACTGCAAAGGTTTCCGCTCCCCTGCTGCACATGACCCTTAGGCCCTCTGCTGTGCTCTCATTTCCACGTCCACGACCGCCTCATTCACCGCCTTCCCAAGTGACCACTTCTCAAGAGCCTCCTGAAAACTCAAAAGGGCCACTTCACCCACTCCTCAAGGCCCTCCTTCCCGCCTACGGCTTCTTCTAAAGGCGGCGGGAAAACTGGAGCTTAAAACCCCAACAGTAAGTCCAGAAAAGCCAGCAGGGAACGCGCGTCCTCTTCCGTGGCCCCTCCAGGTCGCCCAGGAAGATAAGCAACTTATTCCCATACTTCTGCGTCCGTCTGTCTCCCCCACTCAGCTTTGAATGAGACGCAGGGGAGGGCGCGCGAGCGGGCTCGAGGCGAGGGGAGGAGCCGCGGGAGCTGCCCCCGGGGGTGCGCCTGGCCCCGCGCCCCCTCCCCGCCCGGCGCTGCAGGAACGTCCCGGCGCGTCCCGGGTCTGTCAGCCCGGAGTTCCCCGGGGCGCGAGGGGAGGGACTGGAGCAGGAGGAGGGCCGGGCCGCGGAGGGGAGGAGGCGGTGCGTGCCGCGCCTGCCAAGGGGGCTCCGCGGCTCTGCGTGCGATTCCCGGCGCCCGCGCGCGGCCGCTGCGCTCCGCCAGAGCCACCTCCGCGGACTCGCCTGAGCGCGGTCTCTGCCGGTGCCAGCCCCGCTCCTGGAGACCCTCCGCCGCCTGCCAAGCCCCGCTCTTGCAGGTCGGGCTCTGCGGCTGTTAGGGACCCAGGTGAAGAAGGGCAGGACGGTCTGGTCTGCCGTGGATGTTCCCGCCCGGGAAGGACAGCAAGTTGTGTGTGCGCCCGGGACGCGGGAGGGAAGGTGGCCGCCGCCCGCCAGCCATGTAAGTAACGCGCTCGGCTGCCCCGTGGGCGTGGGCTCCGCCGCTTTCTCCCGGGCTCCCTCTCTGCCCCGGAGCCGGAGTTGGGCTGCACCCGCCCGGGCTCCGGACTTCCTGAGCTCGGCGGATCCCTCGGCTCTCCCTGCCCGCCGCGTCCGCTCTCCGCGTCTGCCTCCGGGGGGTGCTGCCTCCCATCCTTATCCCCTCCCTTCGCCCAGAGCCGGCTGGAAAAATGCCTCCTGCCCGCTTTTAGAATGGAGGGATCATTGTGTGTCTCCATGGGTGGGGTGGCTCGAGGAGCAGTGGCAGGGGGCTAAATATGGGCTCGTCTTGGCGAGGGCGCCTCACCGCAGTTGGAAATGGGGGCCCCCGCCCCCACGCCACCCCCTGCTGCTCTTCCCCAGCCTCGTGGCCCAGATAGATCAACTTCAGCCACTGACTGCAGTTGACAAGATTAAAAAAAAAAAAAAAGTAGCGTCTGGACCTCCCTTTTGAGTGACATCTAGAACTGAAAATGGGCGGTGGTTAGAGAAAAAAACAGTAGGGGCGAGGTAAAGAAAAGGGGGAATTTGCTGTGGACCCTGAAAGCTGGAGTGAGGATCCTGGAGGTGTAACTCTAGGGTGGATGGGCTGTGTGCGTCTGTATTCACGTGTTTATAGAAAATGCAAGAAATGGCTGAGAAACTCTGAAAGGCTGGGGTGAAAATAAATGCCTCGTACCATTTGGACGACTGGGCTTCGATGTGGAATACTGGGAAGTATGGTTTGCTGTTCAGATTAGACAATCATTTAGTGGGAGAAATGATTCCAATCAATGAATCAAAATTGCAGGCCCCAAATAAGTCAGACACAGGCGTTCTTTTACACTAGAAGATGTTAAGACCAAGGAACTTCTGAAACGCTGCTGAGTGAGTACAGAGTGTCTGGTAATAGTTCTGGACCGTACGTGCCTCCGCAGACCATAATGTTTGTTAAATTTATGGTACTCTGCAATTGTGAAAAATTATCCTGATTATTTTGTTTGGCTCATGCAGAGAGTTAACGTACCCTTAAAGAGACACGGAAAAGTTGCGAAAAACCATGAGCACGAACTTGCAAGCCAAAAAGAAAAGAAACCATGGCATGGTTCATTTTATTTTAATTGTTTATTGCCAGTGAAAACACTACATTACTTTTCATGTGAGTATATAATATATAGAATGAATTCATTGGCCTGTCAAACAAAAATCAGGCATTTCCTTAAGTAAAATCACGCTCAGAGTTAATTTGGGAACATTTATAAGAGGTAAAGACATGAAAAAGCTTTGAGCTGCTTTGACAAAAATTGAGTTATGGAGAAGCTCATAAGGAGAATTAGTTCTTCCCACTGTTAAAGTGTTCAGGCAAGTCTGAATGTTAACTGAAAATTGTAGACCCGCTGAGAGGGTGTTATTGCCTCTCTCTATGCCTTTAACTTTTAATGTTTCCTGTTGTTTTATCAGGGACCATCATCCTTAGTACACAGGATGGAAAGTTGATGTCCAGTAAGACTGAAGATCTATTCTGCGTTACGGAGCTGTGGATTACCTGTGGGTCCCTGGTGATTTCACGCCTTCATTCACTCCTGCAGTCCCTGAACATTTACTTGGGGGTCCTCATTGCCCTGTCTGGTGAGAGATGGCCTCCAGCCTGACTTGTACGGGAGTAATTTGGGCTTTGCTCTCTTTTCTTTGTGCTGCCACCTCCTGCGTGGGGTTCTTTATGCCTTACTGGCTCTGGGGATCACAGCTGGGCAAGCCTGTGTCCTTCGGTACCTTCCGGAGGTGCTCCTATCCTGTGCATGATGAGAGTCGGCAGATGATGGTGATGGTGGAGGAATGTGGGCGCTATGCCTCCTTCCAGGGCATCCCCAGCGCAGAGTGGAGGATCTGCACCATTGTGACCGGCCTGGGTTGTGGCCTCCTCCTCCTGGTGGCGCTCACAGCCCTCATGGGTTGCTGCGTTTCTGAGCTCATCTCCAGGACCGTGGGAAGAGTGGCTGGAGGAATTCAGTTTCTTGGGGGTAAGTGACTTGCTGAGCTCGAGTTGTTTACTGGAATCTGCAACATTAAAAATTATGTTTCAGTTGTCTACTGAGATTATTATAACTGACACTTGGAATGCATCAGAGAAATAGATTTGGAATGGCTTTGCTGATAGGTTGCCAAAGTTAAGATTATTGTCAACATTGCTTTACAACTTCAAGAGTCCTTAATTTCTGTGCATACACATCACTGGCTCGCTAAGTGCCACCTATGTGAAAACAGTAGCATCTAGGTTGTTTGCAGTCTAGTAGAGGAGACAGTTTGGTTTCTAGCTTCTCGTTCTTTATGTTCAATAATAGGCAATTAGATTATCTTTGTCTTAATATCCTTGGGTCTTAGAGGTAAAGATTTAACAGACAAGTGGAAAAGGGTTTTGATCCGACATGGTTATCATGAACCTCTAATACACGTTGGTGGTTGCAAAATTTACTCTTGCCCAATCTTAAGCTGAATGTCTAAGTAAGTGTTAACCCTTTTAAATGAGAGATCAGTTTTATATAACTATGAACTTAACTATTCTACAAAGATAGGTGTCAGCTTAATTACTTTGTTAGGTTTAACTTTCTCGGGTGCTCTTGCTGTGGAAAAAAAGAAAGGTATATTTAACAAATGATGTGTGCTTGTCCCGGATGGACTGGACAGTTTCACTAACACCAGAAAAGGTTTGATTTTTACTTGGATTTCCTCCAGCGAGTATTGCTTCAATATCTCTGCTCATATGGTTTTAATTGTACGTTATGTCTTTTCCACTGTGCTTTTCACCTCCATTCTTCAACCTGACCGGCTGAACTTGTCTGAGTTACAGTCCACCCTGGTGAAATATGACAACCTCCATAGATAGTGCAGGGCGAAGGGAAATAGGAAGCCTGGAAAACTTACACAATGTATTTGGAACTTCGTGACAGAGTAAAGGTCTGTTACTCTCCCATTTGGTGTTCTCTTACGGTCTTTTGTGGAGAATCTAGAAGAAGAAAAACAAATTAAAAATGAATAGTTGTGAGACAGTCTTCCCCTGAGAGAGAACCCCATTGGATTATTTCAGATTCTTTAATATAAAACTTTCAAGTAATGTTTTAAGTAATGTTTAATTCTTGTGCTGAAAATGCAAGTGGCAAAGTTTTGTGTTTTGAAGTGAGATAGAAAGTTTTGTTTTGAAATGAGGTAGAAGTGTCCATTCTTTCCTTACTGATGTAATTGTGTTCTCATTCGGTTGGTTTATTTTTTTTCCCCATTGGTTTTGCATCTCAGTCCCTCCAGGGAGGCAGTCCCCCTCCAGGGGACCTACCTGTCCTCTCTTGACAGCTTCAATGTTTAACATTGACAAAAACCTTGCATGTGATGTGTGTATTTACACAGTTATGTAGCTAAAACTCTTAGGAAACCTAGAGAAGTTGTCATTGAAAGTGGAAATGTAAATTCAGAGTTTGAAAACTTGTTGATATCACAGATTTTCAGAATAGAGTGAATGCCAAGAGAATTTAAGATTCTTTTCTGTGAGAATAAACTTGCTCTGCTGTTTGTGTTTCACTTGGCTCAGGAAAAACGCTTAGGCAGTTTCATTTTCTCCTCTTATGGTAAATATTACTTTCCATTTTTTCTTCATTTTAGGGCAGGGCCTGCTGTTATTTCTGGCAGAACAGGAAAATGCTTACAAAGAGAAATCAGTTTTTATTGATTACCTTTAAACGTGTAATGAAGGCAGGCAACCGGAAGTGAATCTGAGACCCATGAGATTTATGGTTCCCTCTCTAAGTTATGTATAGATTTTTTTTGAATTATATAGAGCTAAATGTTCTGCTTTACAGAATACACAGGGGGACAGACAATTGGGGAAGTTATATGTATATATTTTTAGAAAGTTTTTGTTTTTTTTTTCTTTGTGCTTTTTGTGAACTCTGGCTTGGTAAGAGTTTCTGACATCAAGCTAAGAGAATAATTTGTTAGTAGCAGCTGATATTCTCTCATTTCTCAAAAATGTTTCTTATACGGGCAAAAGCAATTCTGGATATAAAATCTAAGAGGGCTTTTCAGAATCTCCCCTCTTGAGAGCACAAGTAAACATACCCATTACCAAAGATAACAGTAAATTTAGAATTAAAAAATAACTTGAAATATGGAAAAGGTTTTAAAGAATCTGATGTTTATCACTGTTACTTAATGGGAGACCAGATAACAACAACAACAAAAGCTTCAAAAAGAATCCCCTAGGTTGTTCATTTCATAATTGTTTAGGTTTTTATTTACAAAAACTTGTTTTAATAAATTTTTTTCTGTGATGAATTGGATTTCGTAAAGACTCTGCAGGATGCCAAACCAGTAAGTTCTATGAATCACATAGACTGCCGCGCTTCAGAAATGTAATCAACATACAGGGAACTTTGCTACGAGGCGGATTCTCCTGCTAAAAATGATGTGCCCGGAAGGGTTATGTTTGGCTAAAGTTAGGTTGTTCCAGAAACAACAGGAAGCAGGAGAATGGCGGAATACAGAGGCATCCTGCTTAACCCCGTCTGCTGTGTCTAGAGTTTGCACATATGGTATAACATCAGGCAGTAAAACCCCTGCAGTACTTTGGAACAAGTTAAAGGACAAAATGTCAAACTTAATTCTGAATCTCCTTGCTGTGATTGGTTAGAGGTTAAAATGTCAGCTGTTAACTGACGGAGCTGTGTAAAATTGGGCTGCTGTACATGGGTATTTTCTACCTAAAGTTGGAATCCCTCAAGGAGTCAATGACTATCACTTTTCCTGTGGTAACCTGTACAGAAACGTTAATTGCTGCTATCTCCATTTCATATTATAAGGTATGTTTATGTCCTAACTTTAAAGAACTAGTGCGGGTTGAGTTTTTACCCTCAACTGATTTTTTAAAAGGCATGTAGAAAGGCTTTGGGCAATACAATGTAAAATAAAAATGTTAACATGTATATAGTGTGGTAAGGGTGCTGGGAGAAAATACAGGATTCAAAGTTTTTGATTGTTGAGTATAAAATTTTGTGCTTCCAAATGCCATTTTAGTCATTAAGGATTTTAACAGAATTTAAAAAAATTAATATCAACCTTTTGATGCACATATTAGTAAGATTTACATGCTCTGTAAATGATACATGTAAGAATGTTGTAAAGACATATTAAGTGTATTTGTAAGTTCTGTCAGGTGGTGCTTGCAAATATCAGAATCTGAATGTGTGCATTTCATCTCAAGAAACTGCTGGTGCAGTAATGAGGAAGTACCAAGGAGAGTCTGGATTTATATTGTTCCACGTTTAGTTTGAACATTTGTCATATATATATGTGAAATGTGTGTGGAATGCTAATCAGCAGCAAACCATTACCTTTCCAGCTTAGACACTGTTCTGTTTTAAGAAGCCAGAGGAGATCATCTCAACTAATTGATAATTAAGTACTGCTGAAGACAGTGATGATGTCAGAATGCTTCTTTGAGCATCTCTGGCTCTGCGTTGTGAAAGCATCATTGCCTTTTCATAGTCTCCTTACTGTAGAGTTCCACCTGGGCCTGTCTTTCATGCCTTGAGGGAGATGCTTGGGACTCTCCTTCCCTTGCTTTACTGTAAATCTGACCTGCCATATGATATGCCACGTTATGCTTTTCTTTATATCCAAGCTCTCTGCCAAGTGACAGCTGAGTAATAGCTAAATAATGAGTGTTGACATCTTCATGGGCATAGTGGCTTTCTGTGAGAGTGTTTTAACTGAAAGCAGTTGCTATAATTTTCACAAATGTAGGGACTTCTTAGGCCACTTGGGGAAGCAGGAAGGGCCCCCTTTTTTTTTTTTTAAATTATACCTTATAGAGTACTATAATACTCTTGTTTTATTTAGCTCACTCTAACCTATGATAGAAGGTCCAGGTGAGTTGTCTTGAGTTTTAAGCCAGCAGTTTTTAAACTCTAGTTTGCATCAGAATCACCTGTGGGACTTTTAAAACCACGGATTGTTGGGGCCTGCCCAGGATTTCTAAGTCAGTAGCTTTGGTGGGGTAAGTGGTAGTTTGCACGTCTAACGTGTTCTCCCGTGATGCTGATGCTGGTTAAGAGACCACATCTTGAGAACCACGTTCTAAGTTAACCGTTTTCTATTTAAGAAAATGCGACTTCTGGCTTACCTTCAGAACTGAGTTAAAGTGTAGTTGCGTCATAATATGCTATAATCCTCTCTAAAATTATACCATAAAGGAGCTCTACCTCTGCAGTTTGGTGTTGATTTAGCACATTCTTGTTCCATTTCTCTTAGTTCTTGTCACAACAAATTGTCTGGAATTCTCTCTCAATGCATATTATATACATACATATGTATACATGTTATAATATATGCATTATATACAAAATTTTATTTTATTTACCATTTTCTTATACCAGACACAAGATTTTATACATGGAGAATTCAAAATAAAGCCTTAATACAACTTCTGAAGTTTGCATGCAGTGGATTTTCAGTTAGAAGTTGTGAGTTGAAAGGGATGAAGACCATACCATGGACCATAGGGATGGTTCCGGACAGCCGGCCCTTGGCCAACTCTGTACAGGCATGTATATCTTGGAAACATAGAATGATTAGGCCAGAAGGGCACCCTAGGAGCCAGTCATTCTGAATTTCTCCTGCTAGGTGGAATGGCACTTGAATCAGCTTTGACTAATGAAAAGATCTCCTGGTCTTCAGCATCTTTGGGGAAGAAGGTGATAAACTCTTGGTCAGTGGTCATACTTCCTAGGGCCATAGATCATGCCTTTCATGACAACCATGAACACTGATAATATAAAGGAACAAGCTTGAGGTGGAGGCCTGCATGGTAAAACAGTGGGAATGGGGCTTTGCCAGCCAGGAAGGAGTGAAAGGGAGGTGCCTGCCAGACGTGGTGGCTCATGCCTGTAATCCCAGCATTTTGGGATGCCAAGGCAGGCAGATCACCTGAGGTCAGGAGCTTGAGACCAGCCTGGGCAACATGACGAAACTCTGT